GTTGACCAGGATGGTCTCGATCTCTTGACCTTGTGATCCACCCGCCTCGGCCTCCCAAAGTGCTGGGATTACAGGCTTGAGCCACCGTGCCCGGCCTAATTTTATATTTTTAGTAGAGACAGGATTTCTCCGTGTTGGTCAGGCTGGTCTCAAACTCCCAACCTCAGGTGATCTGTCTGCCTCAGCCTCCCAAAGTGCTGGGATTACAGACATGAGCTACCACCTCTGGCCAAAAAAAAAGTAAAAATTTTTTTAAAGGTGGTTTTTCCAGGACTGGATTCAAATGTTAGCTTTGCTGGTGGCTCTGGGCAAGTGACTTCACCTTTCCGGTCCTTGGTTTTTTGCATCTGTAAAATTGGCACAATGATGGTCTAAAGGTTGGGCATGGTGGCTCATGCCTGTAATCCCAGCACTTTGGGAGGCCAAGGCAGGCAGATCACTGAAGTCAGGAGTTTGAGACCAGCCTGGCCAACATGGCGAAACCCCATCTCTACTAAAAATACAAAAATTAGCTGGGCATAGTGGTAGGCACCTGTAATCCTGGCTACTCAGGAGGCTGAGGCAGGAGAATCGCTTGGACCCAGGAGACGGAGGTTGCAATGAGCCAAGATCACACCACTGTACTCCAGCCTGAGCAAAGGAGGGAAACCCTGTCTCAAAAAATAAATGGTGTGATCCTGTTGAGTGGTCTGATCAGGATTCAAGAAGGCTAGAGGCCAGGTGCAGCGGCTCATGCCTATAATTCTAGCACTTCAGGAGGCCAAGGTAGGAGGCTCACTGGAGGTTAGGAACCTGGGCAACGCAGTGAGGATCTCATCTCTACAAAAAAAACTCCTAAATATTACCTAGGTGTGGTGGTGCATGCCTATGGTCCCAGCTACTCTGGAGGCTGAGGCAGGAGCATGACTTGAGCCTAGGAGTTCAAGGTTATCGTGAGCTTTGATAGTGCCACTGCACTCCAGCCTGGGCCACAGAGGGCTCTTGTCCTTGTTCCTAAAGGGTCCTGTCATCAGGTCAGCCTGGGAAATGCTGTCTCCTTTTCCATATCAGAGTCTTACACTAGCAGGAAGGTCCTGGCGTGATTTTTTTTTTTTTTTTTTTTGAGACAGAGTTTTGCTCTTGTTGCCCAGGCTGTAGCACAATGGCGTGATCTTTGTATTTTTAGTAGAGACAGGTTTCTCCATGTTGGTCAGGCTGGTCGCGAACTCCTGACCTCAGGTCATCCATCCACCTCAGCCTCCCAAAGTGCTGGGATTATAGGTGTGAGCCACCACGCCAGCACAGACCCCAGCAGTTCTACAGCACCCAGTATCCCTACTTCCTGCCCACAGAGCCCTTGGGGGCAGGAACGTGGGTCCTCAGCCCACAGTACATGCCACAGGGCACACCGATGATGCTGATCAGAACAGGTTGGCTCTGTGCTTTCCTCAGTGGCCCCAGCAGTGCCACAGAGAGACAGGGACTGTTGTGATTTTGCAGAGGAAACTGAGGCACGGGGGGTGGTACTTATTTGTTGAGAGTCCCACAGCCAGGAATTTTAGGGGTAGGCCTGGAGCCCAGGGAGCTGACCTTGACCCTGTACTTGTGAGTACCACACAGGGCTCCTGGTGGGGTGGGTGAACAGTGAGGGGAGGCTGACACCCACCCCCTGCCCCCAGGCCCTGAGAATCGTCCTGCACAGCCTGGATCTCCATGCCAACTGCTACCAGCGCTTCGTGGTGCCGCTGCTCAGCATCAGTGCTGACTTCTATGTGCGTGTTTTTGTCCGTGTCTTCGCCAGCCCAGCCAAGGTCAAGGCCTCAGCCAGGTCAGTGGGGGTAGGGAGGGGTGGTGGATTGAGAGAGGAGACAGGCCAGGCGTGTTGGCTCACTCCTGTAATCCCAGCACTTTGGGAAGCCGAGGTGGGCGGATCATGAGATCAAGAGATCAAGACCATCCTGGCCAACATGGTGAAACCCCGTCTCTACCAAAAATTATCTGGGCATGGTGGTGTGTGCCTGTAGTCCCAGCTACTCGGGAGGCTGAGGCAGGAGAATCATTTGAACCTGGAAAGTGGAGGTTGCCAAGATTGTGCCACTGCACTCCAGCCTGGCAACAGACCTAGACTCTGTCTCAAAAACTAAAAAAAAAAAAAAAAAGAAAGAGGAGGTGGGACCTTGGCCTGGGGAATCTGGGGCTTCTAAAGGGGACAGAGCCAGTCTGAGGGAGGAGTTGGGTTGTGGTGGTCATACTGGGAACTCATAGCCACTGGTGCCCCCCGACAGCAAGCAGGCGCTGGTGTTCCAGTGTGTGGGCTGCGGGGCCTTCCACCTTCAGCGCCTCGCCAAAGCATCAGGAGTCCCCGGTGACCGGTGAGCAGGGCGTTGCTGGGGAGGAAGGAGGAAAAGGGGAGTCCCAGGGTTTTATCCCCTCCCCACCAGCCACCCCTCTCTGTTCAGGGTCAAGTTCTCTGCAGCCTGTGGTCCCCCCGTGACTCCCGAGTGTGAACACTGTGGGCAGCAACACCAGGTAGGGCTAGGCCAGGGGAGGCCAAGGAGCAAAAGGGTCTCAGAAGTCGTGGTCCCTGCTCACCTGTCCCTGGTGCTCCCCAGCTTGGTGGCCCCATTTGGGCAGAACCCATCCATGACCTGGATTTCGTGGGCCGGGTCCTGGAGGCTGTGAGCACTAACCCCGGCCGCTTCAACACCTCCGAGCGGATCCGAGGGGTTCTGAGCGTCATCACCGAGGTGAGGGCCGGGCTGTGACGAGGGAGGGGGCTCCGCCTCTGCCCGCCCATCTCCACTCATAGCCATCCTGTCCCCCTTCGCAGGAGCTCCCAGACGTGCCTCTGTACTACACCCTGGACCAGCTGAGCAGCACCATCCACTGCAGCACGCCCAGCCTCCTGAAGTTTCGGTATGGGCCCCTGGGGCCCGGGAGGAGCCTGTCCGTGACCACAGGGCGGCTTGGGGCAAGTCCAAGGATTCACAAGCATAGAATTTGTGGCAGGGTGGGGAGCACCCCATGGTGGCTCATGCCTGTAATCCCAGTACTTTGGGAGGCTGAGACAGAAAGATCCCTGGAGGCCAGGTGTTCAAGACCAACCTGGGCATCATAGTAAGGCCCTATCTCTTAAAAAATAAAATAAATAAATACACAGTCACATATACATATACATATATACACACACACTAGCCTGGCATGGTGGTACATGCCTATAGTCCTAGCTACTCAGGAGGCTGAGGTGGGAGGATCATTTGGGCCAGGAGTTTGATGCTAAAGTGAATTATGATCTTGCCACTCCGGCTTGCTGGGTGAGAGAATGAGAACCTGTCTCTTTAAAAAAAAAAAAAAAAAGGCCAAGGGTGGTGGCTCATGCCTGTAATCCTAGCACTTTGGAAGGCCGAGGTGGGTAGATCACAAGGTCAAGAGATTGAGACCATCCTGGCCAACATGGTGAAACCCCGTCTCTACTAAAAAAAATACAAAAATTAGCTGGGCATGGTGGCATGCACCTGTGGTCCCAGCTACTCGGGAGGCTAAGACAGAAGAATCTCTTGAACCTAGGAGGCAGAGGTTGCAGTAAGCCGAGATTGCGCCACTGCACTCCAGCCTGACAACAGAGCAAGACTCCGTCTCCAAAAAAAAAAAATTAGGCCAGGCTTAGTGGCTCATGCCTATAATCTCAGCACTTTGGGAGGCTGAGGTGGGCAGATCACTTGAGGTCAGGAGTTCAAGACCAGCCTGGCTAACATGCTGAAACTATCTCTACTAAAAATACAAAAATTAGCTGGGTGTCATAGCACTTGCCTGTAGTCCCAGCTACTTGGGAGGCTGAGGCACAAGAATCTCTTGAACCCAGGAGGAGGTGGCTGCGGTGAGTCAAGATTGTGCCACTGCATACCAGCCTGGGTGACAGAATGAGACTCCATTTAAAAAATAATAATAATTAGAAAAAGAGGTCACGGCCGGGCGCGGTGGCTCACGCCTGTAATCCCAGCACTTTGGGAGGCCGAGGCGGGTGGATCACGAGGTCAAGAGATCGAGACCATCCTGGTCAACATGGTGAAAACCCCGTCTCTACTAAAAATACAAAAAATTAGCTGGGCATGGTGGCGTGTGCCTGTAATCCCAGCTACTCAGGAGGCTGAGGCAGGAGAATTGCCTGAACCCAGGAGGCGGAGGTTGCGGTGAGCCGAGATCGCGCCATTGCACTCCAGCCTGGGCAACAAGAGCGAAACTCCGTCTTAAAAAAAAAAAAAAAAAGAGGTCAGGCGTCGTGGCTGACTCTTGTAATCCCAGCACTTTGGGAGGCTGTGGCGGGTGAATCACCTGAGGCCAGAAGTTCAAGAGCAGCCTGACCAACGTGAAACTCCATCTCTACTAAAAATACAAAAATATTACCCGGTTGTGGTGGCAGGTACCTGTAATCTCAGCTACTCGGGAGGCTAAGAAAGGAGAATTGCTTGAACCTGGGAGGTGGAGGCTGCAGTGAGCCAAGATTGCACCACTGCACTCCAGCCATCTCAAAAAGAAAAAAAAGAAAGAAAGAAAAGAAATGAACTCTGTAGTCACGAGCCCTTCCTAAAGGTAGCCTGACCTACTCTGGGCATCTCGGGCTTTGGGGTTCAGGGTTCCAGCTTCTCCCTCACGATCCCTGCCATTCCCCAGGTCGGCCCTCCTCCACGCTGACTTCCGGGTCTCGCTCTCCCACACCTGTAAGAACGCTGTGAAGACAGATGCCCCTGCTTCTACCCTCTGGGATATAATGCGCTGCTGGGTAAGGGCAGGGCTGACCGCATGCAGGTGGGAGGGCAGGTGGTGGTCACCTGGAGGTCCCTCAGGCCCAGTATTCCCTAACCTCTGGCCTGTGCCCCAAGGAGAAGGAACATCCAGTGAAACGGGAGCGACTGTCAGAGACCAGCCCAGCGTTCCGTATTCTCAGTGTGGAGCCCAGGTAGGGACAAGCGCGTGCAGGAGGGGATGGGGCTGCCCACAGGTGCAAGAAGCACACATGCTTGCAGACAGCAGAGATGCTGCCCCACACAGACTCATGCCCATTCGGCAAGTGAGATTCAAAATCTGCTGACTGAGGCTGGACGCAGTGGCTCACGCCTGTAATCACAGCACTTTGGGAGGCCGAGGTGGGCGGATCACCTGAGGTCAAGAGTTCAAGACCAGCCTGGCCAACATGGTGAAGCCCCATCTCTATTAAAAATACAAAAATTGGCCGGGCGTGGTGGCTCAAGCCTGTAATCCCAGCACGTTGGGAGGCCGAGGCGGGTGGATCACGAGGTCAAGAGATCGAGACCATCCTGGTCAACATGGTGAAACCCAGTCTCTACTAAAAATACAAAAAATTAGCTGGGCATGGTGGCATGTGCCTGTAATCCCAGCTACTCAGGAGGCTGAGGCAGAGAATTGCCTGAACCCAGGAGGCGGAGGTTGCGGTGAGCTGAGATCGCGCCATTGCACTCCAGCCTGGGTAACAAGAGCGAAACTCCGTCTCAAAAAAAAAAAAAAAAACAAAAAAAACAAAAATTAGCCAGGCGTGGTGGCGCGTGCCTGTAATCCCAGCTACTGAGGAGGCCGAAACAGGAGAATCCCTTGAACCCTGGAGATGGAGGTTGCAGGGAGTCGAGATCATGCCACTGCACTCCAGCCTGGGCAACAGAGCGAGACTCCCTCTCAGAAATAATAAAAAATAAATAAAAATAAAAATAACAAAATCTGCTGATTTGGTTGGGTGCAGTGGCTCACACCTGTAATACCAGCACTTTGGGAGGCTGAGGCGGGCAGATCACCTGAGTTCAGGAGTTCAAGACCAACCTGGCCAACATGGCGAAACCCTATCTCTACTAAAAATACACACACACACACACAAATTACCCAGGCAAGTTGGCACGTGCCTGTAGTTCCAGCTACTTCGTAGGCTGAGGCAGGTGAATCACTTGAACTGGGAGGTGGAGTTTGCAGTGTGGCAAGATCGCACCATTGCACTCCAACCTGGGCAACAGAGTGAGACCTTATATCTTTGTTATTATTATTTTAGAAGGAGGCTCATACCAGGCGAGGTGGTGCATGCCTGTAGTCCCAGATACTCGGGAGGCTGGGGTGGGAGGATTGCTTGAGCCCAGGAGTTCTGGGCTGTAGTGCGCTATGCCGATCGGGTGTCTGCACAAAGTTCAGCATCGATATGGTGACCTCCTGGGAGCGGGGGACCACCAGGTTGCCTAAGGAGGGGTGAACCGGCCCAGGTCAGAAACGGAGCAGGTCAAAACTCCCATGCTGATCAGTAGTGGAATCATGCCTGTGAATAGCCAAATGTAACATAGCAAGACCCTGTCTCTGAAAAAAATTATTTTAAAATATACAAAAAAAAAAAAAAGGGGGCCGGGCACGGTGGCTCACGCCTGTAATCCTAGCACTTTGGGAGGCCGAGGTGGGTGGATCACCTGAGGTCAGGAGTTCAAGACCAGCCTGGCCATTACGGTGAAACCCCATCTTAATAAATAAATAAATAAATAAAATACATATATATAAAAAATGGAGGCTCACTCTCTTGCCCAGGCTGGAGTGTAGGGGTGTAGTTTCCACTCACTGCAACCTCTCTCTCCTGGGTTCAAGCAAGTCTCGTCCCTCAGCCTCCAGAGTAGCTGGGACTACAGGCTCCCGCCACCATGCCAAGCGAATTTTTGTATTTTTATTGGAGATGGGGTTTCACCATGTTGGCCAGGCTGGTCTTGAACTCCTGACCTCAAGTGATCCGCCTGTCTCAACCTCCCAAAGTGCTGGGATTATAGGCATTAGCCACTGAACCCGGTCAAGACCCTATCTCTTTAAAAAGACCAAAATGTTTATTAGATGAATGAGAGTCCTAATGTGAGCAGACACCCCATGCTGTGTGGTGGAGGCAGACAGGCCCTGTGGGCATTCAGTACACACGCGTGTGGCAGCTGCCTCCAGCCCCGACCCCCTACCCCTGCTTCCCCAGGCTGCAGGCCAACTTCACCATCCGGGAAGATGCCAACCCCAGTTCCCGCCAGCGAAGGCTCAAGCGCTTCCAGGTCAACCCAGAGGCCAACTGGGGTCCCCGGCGTCGTGCCCGGCCAGGGTGAGTGGTGGTAGGGTGGGGGTGGATCTTAGCCAGGGAAAGGAAGGGCAAAGGACAGATGGGGTCCCATCTACTCACCGCTTGCACAGGGGCAAGGCAGCCGACGAAGCTATGGAGGAGAGACACATGGTGCTTCGGAACAAGCGGAAGGAGCCACCCGAAAATGCAGCCCAGCGGGCTGCCTGGCTCAAGACAGTTCCTTGCAAGAGGTTTAAGGAGGTGAGATCCCTCCTCCCCTTTCCCGCTGCAGGACACATGAGTCTCTTCTCTTTGGGCAACTGGGAGAGAACTGGGGGAACTGGGACCAGGCAGGTGCTTGGGAATGGCTTTTCCATTCCAGGAAAGGAACCCATCAGGGGTCACTGAGCTCCGGGGCAGGGTTCACACCCACCATCTTCCCACCAGGGTAACTGTCAACGCGGGGACCAGTGCTGCTACTCCCATAGCCCCCCGGCCCCGGGGGTCTCTGCTGATGCTGTCCCTGACTGTCCAGAGACTTCTAACCAGAGCCCCCTTGGCCTCGGGCTGCCGCTGAGCCAGGCATAGACTGAACCAATAAAGAGATGTCGCGTCACCTCCGGATTGCCTGTGGTTTGTGTATCGGTCCATACAGCTGCGTGACTGGGGGCCGTTCCTCTGGGGTCGTTCGCTCCTGCCTGACTGGAGCGTTGAGTCTGTATGGGAGGTAGGAGCTGACCATCTGCACAGTGGTCGGCCCAGCCCCTCTCCATCAAAGGTCGCTGAGCCACCCCAGAGCCGGCGCCTGCGGTTCCCAAGGTGGCCACGAGGGGGCAGCTGTGTGCTCGCTCCCGCGGGGTGTGCCCCCCTTCCCCCTCCCACCTTCAGTGCGCTCTTGGCCGCCTCGGGCACGCACGCAGGCCAGCGCTCCTGCCCGGGATCCCCCACTTACCCTCGCGCTGCTGCCTCCTCACCGCCTGGTTTCTTCGGCCTAGCTCTCCAGGGGCCGCAGTGGCGGAAGCTGGACCGGAACCAGGCGCCCTGTGCATCCGCTCCAGACCAGGTGCTTCCTGCCCTGAGGCCCCAGGGGGGCGTGCACACAGTGAGGGACCTCGCCTTCTGCTGCCCAGACACCCAGTGAGGGGGAGCTGCATCCCTCCCTGTCCCCCAGAGCGGGGTTTAGTAACGTTAACGAAGAGGCCTGGGGCAGGGATCCTGCCCAGGATCCTCTCTGGCTCTTGCTCCCTTCATCCCCATCTGTAATGAGGCTAATCTTAGGACCCTCCTTGTAGGGATATTGGAGTTAGTTTCAGTGTTTAAACTTTTTTTTTTTTTTTTTTTTTGGAGACAAGATTTAGGTGTATGGCCCAGGCGGGTGTGCAGTGGCATGATCTTGGCTCACTGCAATCATCACCTCCCAGGCTCAGGCCATCCTCCCACCTCAGCCTCCAGAGTAGCCGCGACTACAGGCATACACCACCACAACCAGCTACTTTTTGTATTTTTTGTAGAGACGGGGTTTCATCATGTTGCCCAGGCTGGTCTCAAACTCATGAGCCCGAATTGATCTGCCAACCTCAGCCTCTCAGAGTGCTGGGATGACAGGTATGAGCCATCACACCCAGCCTTTATTGCATAAAACTTTAGTTTTTGCTTTTTTTTTTTAAGACTCAGTCTTGCTCTTGTCTGCAATGCTGGAGTGCAATGGCACAATCTTGGCTCGCCGCAACCTCCACCTCCCAGGTTCAAGTGATTCTCCTGCATTAGCCTCCTGAGTAGCTGGGATTACAGGCACCTGCCACCACGCCCAGCCAATTTTTGTATTTTTAGTAGAGACAGGGTTTCACCATGTTGGCCAGGCTGGTCTTGAACTCCTGACCTCAGGTAATCTGCCCACCTCGACCTCCCAAAGTGCTGGGATTACAGGCATGAGCCACTTTGCCCAGCCAGTTCCTGCTTCTTTGGAGGGAGGCAATGGAGGTGTCGATTGTGGAGTCCTGGGCTCCTCCCCATTCCTGGGAGGGTGGTGGTAGCCCTGGTGCTGGGTTCCTGTCTGGGGGCTTCTCCAGTCACCCAGATATGCACACAGGCCAAAGCATGAGTGACAAGTGTGTGGCGGCAGTCCTGTGGCTGCTGCAGCCTGGCTGTGCCCAGAGCCGCTCCCTCTCGAAGGTTCCAGCAGGATCTTGAGGTTTACACCAAGCCAGGATGCCTGCCCCCTATGAAGTGACCGGGTGCTGTGGGGTGAGGGCCAGGGACCACCAAGTTGGAGTTATATGATTTTGTGGCCAAGAGGCCTAGAACTGTGGGGACCTGTCGGGTATCTACTGGGTCACACTAGCCCTGGCACCCCAGGAAATCCAACTTCCCCATCCCAGCCCTGACAGTGTAGCACTTCCTCTCACCCTCCTGGGCTTGGAAATGTGTGGATACTGTGCTGAGGGCTGAGAACGCCTGCCCGGGCTGGACACCCAAGGCCAGACTGTTAGAACTGTCTCCCTTTGGGTGCCTCACTCCTGGGTAGGGGTTGTGGAGAGGCAGGAAGGGCCTCTGTAAAAAGAGGAACCAGGCTGGGTGAGGAGAGGAGAAGGTGGGGCCCCAGGGTCACGCGGCCCCAACGGGCGGAAAGGGCTCTCCCTCACCCCCATCAGCACAGACACCCAGGCAGGGGGTGTTCCAAACCAGAGAGCAGACTCAGACAACGTAAGAGGAGGCAGCTTACCTGCCTCAGTTTACCCCCCTGCGTGCATCCAGGCACCTTCCTCCCTGGCTGCCCTCAGGCCGGGATCCCCAGAGGCTCAGGGTCCCTCCAGTGCCTGGGGGAGCGGAAGGCAAGGGGTCTTGAGGGGTGGCGGGCCGAGTCCTGACAGCGCCAGCTGGGGGCGGGGCCGGGAGGGCTGAGCTGCGAGGTCTCCGCCCGCTGGTTTCCTCCGGGGTCAGCCCGGCTCCTTATCAGGCGCGGCCAGGCAGCCAGGCCCTTATCTGCACTGGGCCAGCATCCTCCGGCCGCTGCGCCGCCAGGGGTGAGAGGGAGGAAACCGGGCCGCCGGGGGCGGGGAGAGAGGGCGGTCCCGCCAGGAGCTGCTCAGTTTCCCTGGGGGGGCCTACGCGGAGACCTCAGCCATCCTGGCCCTCCGAGGCCCACGAGGAGGCGCGGCCCAACGCCCGGGCCTGGAGCGTTGAGGCCGGACCGGAGCGGGACAGCAGAGCCTGGCCTGACGCTGGAAACCACATCCTGGCCCAGACTGCCAGCCCTGACGGGACAGAGCCAGGGTGCTCACCAGGCTGCGGAAACAGTGCTGGGGTAAGAGGGGAGCGGGCCTGAAGGTGGAGGATCCTGGGCCTGAGACCCAGCCTGCATTCCTTTGTTCATTCATTCATTCATTCATTCATCAGCAGGGACCCACTAGTGAGGGGCCAGACCTGCTTCTGCAGGGCCTAGCTGAGGAAGACAGGGCAGAGGGGCCAAGAGTCTCACACCTTGCTGGGACATCCTGGACTCTGGAACCAAGAGCCAACAGGGATGTCAAAACAGAGTGCAAACGTGAATGGTAGGACATGGTGGTGCATGCCTGTAATCTCAGCGCTTTCGGAGGCTGAGGTGGGAGGATCACTTGAGTCCAAGAGTTCCAGACCACCCTGGACAACAGAGTGAGAACCTGTCTCTACAAAAAAATAAAATAACAATTTTTTTTAAATTAGCTGGGCATGGTGGCACATGCCTATACTCTCAGCTACTCAGGAGGCTGAGACAGGAGGATAGCTTGAGCCCAGGAATTTGAGGCTGCAGTGAACTATGATCGTACCAGTGAACTCCAGCCTGGGCAACAGAGGGAGAACCTGTCTCTAAAAAATAAACAAAAGGCCGGGTGCAGTGCCTCATGCCTGTAATCCCAGCACTTTGGGAAGCTGAAGCAGACAGATCACCTGAGGTTGGGAGTTCGCGACCAGCTTGGCCAACATGGAGAAACCCTGTCTGTACTAAAAATACAAAATTAGCCGGGTCTGGTGGCGCATGTCTGTAATCCCAGCTACTCGGGAGGCTGAGGCAGGAGAATCGCTTGAACCTGGGAGGTGGAGGTTGCGGTGAGCCAAGATCCCGCCACTGCACTCCAGCCTGGGCAACAAGAGTGAAACTCCATCTCAAAAAAACCAAAACAACAACAAAAAGAGTGTGGATGCTGATGAGGGTGGGGGCTTCCAAGCCAGAGGGAGGGCTGGGGCATGACTGAACTGGATTGGGCAGTGGAGTCAGTGTTTGGGGGTCTAGGGTCAGCATTTGAGGTCGTAGTGTCAGTAGTTTACAGGGCTGCTATGGGGGACATTTGTGGTGGAAGTGGGGGGTCACTAGAGCAATTATTGAGTACTTTTAGGGACAGCAATGGGAAGAACTGCATGGTCATTCCTGAGGTGCAGAAGTCACACTGGGTGGGGGCTAAGGGCGTATCCGTGAAGGGTCAGAGCCCATCCTGGAGGGATTCCAAGGTCACATGGCATCAATGTGTCAATGAGGAGTCTCTGGATCGGATCTTTAGATCTGAGGGTAACAGGGTTAATCTCGGGGTTTCTGAGGATCCCAGGATCAGTTAGAGGCTCCCTGTCTTGTTCCCTCTCTAGGCTGCAGAGTTGAGGGAACTGTGGAAGAAGGAATATTTGCTCAGAGGCTGGGCAACAGCACCCCTCCTAGGTCACAAAGAGCCCAGGGACAGTGCCCTGCCTATTACCTCGGTGGGCGCCTCCTACGCTAATGCAGGACTCCTTCCCATGTCCTGAAAGTTTCTGGGCCTACCCCCCACCCCCCACTTCCACCACCATCTGCCTTTGCCAACTGAAACCCCTCTGCTCCTCCTTTCCCCCTCCCCCTCCCTCCTTCCCATTTGAAGGCTTTCTTGGGCTAAGCAGGTGGGAGCGGGGCACCTGGTCCTCCTCCCCACTGGCTGCCTTCTTTCCCACAGGCAAGTACCCCCACGTCGGGGTCCATGTGCCCGCCTCAGGCACAGGCAGAGGTGGGCCCCACCATGACTGAGAAGGCAGAGATGGTGTGTGTCCCCAGCCCAGCACCCGCCCCACCCCCTAAGCCTGCCTCGCCTGGGTCCCCACAGGCAGAGGAGGTGGGCCACGGAGGAGGCTCCTCCCCACCTAGGCTGCCACCTGGTGTGCCGGTGATTAGCCTGGGCCACAGCAGGCCCCCTGGGGCAGCCATGCCCACCACAGAGCTGGGCACCCTGCGGCCCCCACTGCTGCAACTCTCCACCCTGGGACCTGCCCCACCCACTTTGGCCCTGCACTACCACCCTCACCCCTTCCTCAACAGGTCAGTGGGGAGCTGGGGCGGGGGTGGGGTGAGAACTGGGGACGAGGGTCCTTGCCCACGAGGCATTAGTGACCCATGTGACCCCTTACAGTGTCTACATTGGGCCAGCAGGACCTTTCAGCATCTTCCCTAGCAGCCGGCTGAAGCGAAGACCAAGCCACTGTGAGCTGGACCTGGCTGAGGGTGAGTGTGGGTTTGTGTGCATGTGTGCACTTGTGTGTGCATGGAAGGCTGGCCGTCTCTCTGTGGGACTCATGTCTGTCCTCTACTCCACCTCGGGGAGAGATGCTTTCAGCACACACAGA